CTGGGCTTACTGGTACCATCATTTCTGGATCCAAGAGCTGGTTACACCAATGTGTTCATTTGATTAAATTTACTGTTTTTGCCTTTTACCAAAAGTATGTTACACATTAATAAAAAGTTTACATTAAGAAAATCACAGGTCAAGACAGCTTGAAATTTTACATACAAACCTCTGAGTTTATACAAGGCAAGTTTTCCCTAAGCATACTTCCTCTTACCTACAATCTTTGCATTGTCTATGAATACAGGCAAGAAGGCAGGGTAAAGATTTGATAGTTAGGAGGTGTTTTCTTCAAAATTCTCCAGGAGGGTACAACCACACGAAACAAATGAAATGCAATTCATGTTAGTGCCTTAGAAATTATCAGACAGTGTGTATGGTAGACAGGCTGAAAGAGATTCCCCGATGACATTTCTGAAGGTTCCCAAAACCAGGACAAGCAGCACTGGACAGGTGGCAGTTGCTTGCTTTCATTGTCATAATTATTATTTTTTTCTTTTCTTAGATTTTTTTCTATCGTTTTAAAAATAATTGTTTATTTTTATTATTTGTGGGTCCATAGTAGGTGTACCCACATATCTGAACATATATTTATGGCGGACATGAGATGTTTTGACATGGGGATGCAATTCATAATAATCACATCATGGAAAATGGGGTATCCATCCCCTAAAGGATTTATCCTTTGTGTTGCAAACAATCCAATTATACTCTTTTAGTTATTTTAAAATGTACATTTAAATTATTATTGACTGTAGTCACCCTCTTGTGCTGTCAGATACTAGGTGTTATTCATTCATTCATTCTAACTATTTTTTTGTAGCCATTATTGTCATCATTTTTTAAATTTAGCTATGGCAGAGGTGGGAGGAATAAAGCCTCTGTGTTCGCTTTCTTATGACACAAACTCCCTGCAGCTGTCTGTTATATTAATCAGAATATATGGTGACCTAATGACCAGACCAATGACCTCCGGCTCAACCTTACCTCAGTCAACACCCAGTCCTAGGAGAAGCGGGGAAGAAGGTCTCAAGAGAGGCCAGTGGGAACCAGAGAAGACAGTGACACAAGGCCCTTTCCCTGTGCAGCCACCATGCACAGGGAAAGAAGAATCTGTTTTCCTTGTCCTCTCTTGAGAAGGAGGGAAAAATGGTGACCACTTGAGAGGGGAAAATAGAGCTGAGAGGGAATTTGAAGTTCAATTTTGTTAAACAGTTACTCAAAGAACCCATTTTAAAACACTACTGAATTTTATTTGATGAGAAAGTTTAAATAATCCCTCTCTCCATTCCCACATTCCAACGTTAGTTGAAAAGGGGGCCCGAAGAGTTGGCTTGATGAGTTCTGCTGTCAAAATAAATCTGCCTCTGCCATCGCTGTCCATCTAAACCAGCCTACACCAGTGGAGCGCAGCACCTCCAGGTGTGAATGTCCCAGACAGAAGCTGCACTCTCAAGCCTAGAGACAGAGGTGAATCAGGCTCTGATGCATTCTTTTCAAACGGCACCTCCCTCCCATTATATCCCAACCTTATCCCATTGTCTTGAAGGAATATGGTAGATGTGAAAGATCTAAAAGAATAAAAAATATCGAGAATTAGGGTGGTAAAAAGAAAAGTGGAGATCAGAAATGAAAAATAAGAAAGAACAAAACCAGATGACCGTAATGTTAGACACATTCTGTAATAACAGATAGAGTAACAGAAAGGTCCATGCAAGGCAGGATCGACGGGGGTGAGGGAAGCAGGTAGAGAACAGGCAACTATGGAAGATAAAGCTTTTATGAACAGCAGAACTTCCTCATTTTCTACATTCATTGAATTGGTCAATGACTACATGGGCAACATCTTAAGGCATTCTGTACATAGTCTGCTGGATTGAAATGTTTAAGTTCATAAAGGGTGTCAATTTTAATATTTTCAACTCTTCTCTCAATCTCTTAGTGACTCTCATGTTTAATATGATGCGTCCTCACTGTTAACTACATCGGTAAATACAAAGGGTGAGGAAATTAACTGAGAGATCTGAACTTCTGAAACCCTTTAATTCATCATTGGCCCCAATACATAAGAAGGTTCAGATGCCTGAACCACATACACACACACACCCCTCCCTAGAAGAGACCAAATGTATTAGGTTTGGTAATATATGTTACAGAGGACTATTGATTGCCATTCTTTCTTTCTTCACCTTAAACTTAGGTTTCCAAATATCTGTTCAACAGGAATGAGAAGCGATTTATATCATGGTTTTGCTCCTTACATCTTCAAGTTAACAAAATCGAGCAGATTTCTAACAAATTAAATGCATACTTTTTTTCTTGGGGAGGGGTGATAATGCAATGTCTTCTCAAGCTGTAACTTTGGTGATGGGTCAAGACAGCATTGAATTCTTCTGCTTGAGTTATGCTGGCTAATAGGAATTTAATTGAGAACCGGTGGGAGAGCACTGAAGCATTCATGCATGTGAAATCAGATGAACACCCACAATGTGGAATTTCCTAAGGAAAGTTATTCTAGTGGAGAAATACAGACCAGGTTGAGTGCCAGTAACTTTTAAGCTAACATGTGAAGTAATCTTCCTAGTAAGTAATGAGCTAAAGATCCCTGAAGAAAAGCAAAGCCAATATTTTCAACTCTATATTTTCAAACATTTTTTTAAAACCTCAGCTCAAAGCTATATACAGTTCCCTTCCTCGGTAGGATATCAATCTTCCTTAACTTTGATTCCACATAGTAATGCTTATTTTTGAAAGGCACAACTTATTTAGGTAAATCTGAAATAAATAGCAAGACAGAATAATTTGTGAAGATAAATCAAAATCAGAAGCTGATTTCTGTTCAGTACTTCTAATACAAGTCTTCTTGAAACATTTCCTTTTAAATGGCCTACTTAAAACCATATCAATTCTTCACTTCTCATCCCATTCTAAATGACAGTGTGACTTGAGCTTCAGTTTTTACTCATAAAGGTTAAAGAGACATTTTCTAACACCTATCCTGTGTCGCATCAACTCAATCACCTTTTAAAGTTGCCTAAATTGTGACATATTCGCCATTCAAATACATGAATTCTGCAGATTTCAGAATAGATGTACATAGGTATACATAAATGCATATAATATCATATAGTATGTAAATACATTTATTCCTGGAGGCCTTCTAAAATGTAAAGGTAAAGCTGAATCTTTACCTTCTAGTAATTTTACAATAATTTTCCTCATCATATAGGATTTGAAATTCTGGTATCAGTCATAGCCATTGGTTTCTCTTTTGTTATTTACAAAATGGAGTTACTGATAATATCTGCCTCATGTAATTGTTGAGAAGCGTAATATAGGAAGGTTGCCTGATAATAGTAAGTGCTTAATAAATGTTAACTATTGTTCTATCATTATCATCATTTTTGTTTTTGCTGTTAGTATTGTTCAGGAATTTTCTTTAAAAATTCGACAATTAGAAAAATGTTCTTTCTATTACACAGATGAGTCATGCTCATTCATTGTGTAAACTTTGAAATTTAGCTAGAGCTATGATAAATTATAGTCTTTATTTTGCTATCTTTATAGTTGTAATATTTTATTTTATAACATCCCTGAAAACACTCAGCAAGCTCTTCGTGAGTGCAAAATGTTATAACTTGAATGTTACTTTCCAAGAAGATGACTCAATATATTCTACACTAGTTGAAAGACAATACTCCAGGCTTTCTGCTGTAAAAGGATTTAAAAACCCTTGAGCATATGGTGTTTGCATTGCTTTTGTTACTATGGACTGCAATTGTTGGGGTACCTATTCATTTATTTCATACTGATGTGTCACATAAAAGGAACAACAGCAATAAAAACCAACTTGCAGTCAAATTCTATGTAGAGGGATGTAGCTTTAGTCACCGTGTGTCTTAATTAGAAAAAATACTCCTACAGTAAGGATTCACTGTGGGTTTATGCCTGGAGATCACTTTAAGGTTCTGCGGCTCACAGTTCATGCTCATGGGTTGTTTTCTAAGTCGTAATCAGTTTCTAGGGTGTTGGTTTCACTGCTCAGAAGATGAACAACTTAATGAACTTAGGGTAGTTTCTGTGGTAATACTGTTAGTACATTAAATTTAATCATAAAGAGTTAAACAATAACACTTACAATATGCAGTTTTCATGCATTTATTTCAAACTAAGGCTTACTAAAAATGGTAAACACTTCCCCAGTGCTTCAAAAACGGAGACCCTTACTGACATCTATTAATATTTTATGGATAATAAATACAAAATGCAAATTTTGAACAAAACTTGAACCTGTTTTTCATTGCTCATGCTGAACAACCTTTGAACGGCAAGGTCCTTGTGAAAGACATTCGTTCATTCATTCCCTTACTCATTCATGCATCCGACATTTCAGAGCATGCATTTTATGCCAGGCATGATGTTAGCTTACAGAAATGATGACATGGTCTGTGTCTTACGGGGAGCTTGGATTGTTTCTCTCCCTAATACCCTACTCCTTGATATTCAATGTCTTCAATCCACAGTAATATCATGAGTTAAAGCGACAATAACCCATATTACAAATGATAAAACGTGAACTCTGAATTAGCAGTCAACATCTCCCGCTTGACTAGAAGAAGATGTCTTCAAATCAGACACTTCATTAGGGAATGTATGTTAGAATTAAGCAAAGCAAAACAAAAAAGCTGTTACCGGGAAACCAAATGGGATCTTAGTCTTTCCTTTCTCACCAGACTGGGGTAGGATAGGGTGAGCCGGAGCAGCGGACAGGAAACCGCTTTGGAACTACCTGTCTTCTACCTGCCTGCAGGGGATGATTTCCTGGCTACTTATTAGGGCTTTCTGTAAGCCACACGCCTCATTCCTCGGGTGTGAAGGAAGAAAGGAGCCCCTGTTCTCCTAACTTAGTGGAGCTTCACCTGAGGGTCATCCCCCTTCCTTCCCACCCAGCCCCTGAAAGACAAAGGCTTTAAAGCAGACCTGAGTGATTCTCCTCCTACCTGAGCAGCTGCGGCTCAGCCCCGCAGGGACCGGGCGAGGCTCTGGACTACCCCCAGCCACAGCATCTGCCAACACCGGGCTCCAAACGTCCCGCTGCGCGGCCTGCTCGGGTGCGTGCTCGCGGGGACGCCCAGACTGGAAACGTCCCGTGCCACGCGGCCCATCGCGCCCGCACGGGGCCCCTCCCTCGTCTCTCCTCTTGAGTTGCACCTGATGTTTCCAGTACTAAAAGCAAGCTTATTTATGTTTTTCCGTTTCTAAAAGCAATGTGATCATTAAAATAATTCGGAAGATACAGAAAGATGTACATCAATAATTATCCGTATTCTAAAGAGAAACACTAAGAACATTTTAATATCTTTGCAGTCTCTTTACTACAAATAGATTTTAAAAAATCATCTCTCCGTCTCTTTCACACAAAGCCACACAATTACAATATAGACTTTATACATACATTTTATAAAGTTTTGTATTTGTTCTCTTTGTAAAGAAAATTATTTTAAACTTTTTACTCTAAAACATACATAGGTAGGAGTTATATCTCAATGATTATTATATGACATGATATTAACATAAAAATGTATAGTATATATTATATTATCAAATATATAATACTATATTACACTAATATATAGTATTACATAAAGTGTTATAAACATAGACATAATTATGCAAATTTAAACATAAACACACTTTACCTTCCATGCATTTTAGGCAGCACATTATTGATACATTTGAAGAAATCTGTGTACCCCTAAGGACTGCATGGTTCTCTTAGCCACTGCTGTGACTTGTATGACAAACATCCCTTGCTTTCCTTTATAGGTTAACAAATCAGACATCTATCACTTTTTATTGAAATATGACATATATTCAGAAAAATGGATAAACTGCAAGTGTGTTCAATAAATTATCACAAAGTGAACCCATCAAAATAACCACCACCCCAGTAAAAAATACATTCTTAGCACCCAGAAACCCCTTCTAATTTCCATTTCTTTTCATTCGCCATAGGTAGTGACTGTTCTGGTTTTTAATACCACAGTTTAGTTTTGCCTGTTTTGGAATGTAATATAAATAGTCCAGTTATGGTTTTACTACTCTATACTTCCATTGATTTGAGGAGTATAATCTATCTTTTATAAAGTACACTAAATATACACTAAATTTCACGTCTTGGGGAAAAAGGTTGTCTTATTCAAAGTTTCCCACACCCACTCTCTCCTACTTCTCTGCCAAAAAATGAGGAAACTACGTTTCAAGGTAAGGTGTGAGGATCGATTGATACGAGGTGCGTGAAGCCTCTGCTGTGTGATAACAAGCTCTTCAGCCCCTCTGGGGTGTGGTATTCTCCCTACTAGCTCACCTCAGCCACTATCACCGATGTCTCTCCCTCTTGCCTTCAAACCTCTGCTTCCTTAAAAAATTGTTTTTAACCTAGTAAACAGTTCTGCAAGTTTTGTTTGTAAGCACCACACAATCGAGATTTAAAACACTACTGTCGCCTGTAAAAATAACACCATGTCTCTGTAGTCAACTCTGCAAACCATTTCCAGACCCCGGTATCTACCCATGCGTTTTTTTGTCCCTGCAGTGTTATCTTTTCCAAAGATCAAATAAATGGAATTATATAGCATGTAGCCTTTTGAATCAGACTTCTTTCATTCAGCATACCACGTAGGCGATTCACATTGCTGTGGTTTTTATCAGGAGTTCAGTCAATGTTAATTGCTGAGTAAAGTTCTATCATGTGCATATACCACAGTTTATCTGTTCACCAGTTTAGGAATATTTGGGGGTGGTCATGAATAAAGCTGCTATACATATTTGTATACATATGATTGTGTAAATTTAAGTTTTAATTTACTTAAATACCTAGAGATCGGATTGCTGGGTCATATGGGATTTAACTTCGTAAGAAAGAGCCAAATTATTTTCCAGCATTTCTGTACAATTTTGCTTTCCTACCAGCAATACATGAGATTTCCATTTACCCTCACATCCTCACTAGCACTTGGTATTGTCAGATTTTTTTTAATTGAAAAAATATTTCCTCTGAGTATCTCCTTGTGGTTTTAATTTGCATTTCCCTAATAACTAATGACGTTGAGTACATTTTCATGTGCTTATTTGCCATTGACATCTTCTTTGGTAAAGTGCCTGGTCCAATCTTTTGCTCATTTAAAAATAATGGATTGTCTTATTACTTAGTTTTGTGACTTCTTTTATTCGAAATAGAAGCCATTTATCAGATTTGTGTTTTTAATATTTTTTTTTCCAGTCTGTGCCTGCCTCTTTAGTCTCTCAGCCATATATTTCAAAGAGTGGAAGGACTTAATTTTGATGAATTTCACTTACGTCTTTTTATGGCTTGTGTCTTTGATTTTATGTCTAAGAAATCTTTTCCTAACCCCAAGTCACAGAGATTTTCTCCTAAGCTTTCATTTGAGAGCTTTCTAGTTTTCAGGTTTTACATTTAGGATGTGATCTTATTTGAGTTAGTTTTTGTATGGCATGCAAGTTATGAGTTGAGGTTAATTTCTTTTTGCAAATAGAAGTCCAATTGTTCTAGCACCATTTCTTGAAAAGACCATCTTTTTTCCACTGAATGGCCTTTGTACCTTTGTTGAAAAATCAATGCATGAGTCTATTTCTGTACTCTCTATTCTGTTCTATTGATCTATATGTTTGCTTTTTCTTCAATATCACACTGTCCTGATTTCTATAGCTTTGTAAAGTTCTAATTTCAGATAGTATGCATCCTTCAACTTTGTCTTTCTTTTCCAAAACTGTTTTGTATATTCTATTTTCTTTGCTTTTTCATGTAAATTCTATAGTCAACTTGCTGATTTTTATTAAAAATGTCTTGCTACAATTTTGAATGGAATCGTTGAAATATATAGAACAATTTAGGAAAAACTGACATTTTAGCAATTGAGACTTCCAGTCCATTATCATTGCATACAGGCATACCTCAGCGATGTCGTGGGTTTGGTTCCCGACCACTACACTAAGTGAATATTGTGATAAAGTGAGTCACATAAAGTTTTTGGTTTCCCCAAACCAAAAATGCACATAAAAATTATGTTGATGCTGTACTGTAGTCTATTAATGTGCAATAGAATTATGTCTAAAATACATTTCTTATTTAAAAATACATTATTGCTAAAAACATGCTGACAATCATTTCAGATTTCAGTGAGTTATAATCTTACTGCTGATTTAGGGTCTTGCCTCAATGTCAATGGCTACTGACTGATCAGGATGCTGATTGCTGACGGTTGAGATGACTGTCAGTTTCTTAAAATACGACAGTGCAGTTTGCTGCCTTGATAATGTTCTCTTTCACAGATTTCTCTGCAGCATGTGATGCTGTTTGATAGTGTTTTACCCACAGTATAACTTCTTTCAGAATTGGAGTCAATCCTCTCAAATGCTGCAGCTACTTTACCAAATAAGTTTATGGAATATTCAAAATCTTTTGTTGTCATTTCAACAACGTTCAAAGCTTCTTCACTAGGAAGAGACCCTATCTCAAGAAACTACTTTCTTTGCTCATCCATAAGAAGCAACTCCGTATCCACTCAAGTTTTGTCATGGGACTGCAGAAATTCTGTCACATCTTCAGGCTCCACTTCTAATTCTAGATCTCTTTCTATTTCTAACGCATCTGCAGTTAACTTCTCCACTGAAGTCTTGAACCCCTGAAAGTTATTCATGAGAGCTGGAAGCAACTTCTTCCAAACCCCTGTTAATGTTGATTCACAGAGGCTTCATGCCAGAAAGGGGAACGTGTCCCGCTCGCCCAATACCTGAGGCACTCCAGCCCTGAATGCCTCCCTCCCACTCTGCATCTCCTCTGTACCCAGTTCTCTCTCTACCTAGTGGGCGAGCGCCTCCCCCTGGTGCCGCTGCTGAAGTGGAACCACGGCCTTCCCTCCCCGATCCTGCTGGCCCAGCTGCTGCCTCAGCCCCGGCTCGGCTGTGTGCAGCCTCTGCTCCTGGGAGGCCAGGCCGGGCAGCTGCAGCTGCTGCACCTGGCAGGAGATTTTGGCCTCCTCCCATGAATTGCAATGTTCCTAATGGCATCTACAATAATCACTCGTTTCCAGAAGGTTTTCAGTTTAGTTTGTTCAGATCCGTGAGGGGGACTCACTGTCTATGGCAGCTGTAGCCTTACAAAATGTATTTCTTCAATAATAAGACAGAAAATCTAAATGACTTCTTAATCCAGAATGGGTATTGTGTTAGCGGACATGAAAACAACATTGATCTCCTTGTACATTCCCATCAGAGCTCTTGGGTGACTAGGTGCATTGTGACTGAGCAGTAATATCTCAAAAGAACTATCTGTTTCTGAGAAGTAGACTTGAAATCTTCAATAAAGATGTTGTAAACACATGTGCTATCATTCAGGCTTAGTTTTTCCATTTGTAGAGCACAGAGTGGATTTAGTAGGTCCTAGAATTTTCAGAGTGGCAACTGAGCATTCACTCAACTTAAAGTCAACAGAAAGTAAATCAGTATATTGAAGAGATATCTGTATGCCTATGTTTGTTGCAGCACTGTTGACAACAGCTGAGATTTGGAAGCAACTAAGTGTCCATTAACAGATAAATGGATAACAAAAATGTGGTACCTAAACATGATGAGTACTATTCAGCCATAGAGAAGAATGAGATCTGGTCATTTGCAACAACATGAATGGTATTGGAGGTCATTATATTAATTGAAATAAGCCAGGTACAGAAAGACAAACATTGCATGTTCCCACTTATCTGTGAGATCTAAAAATCAAATCAATTGAATTCCTGGACACAGAGAGTAGAACGGTGGTTACCAGAGGCTGGGAAGGGTCATGGAGATTTGATAGGGGATGTGGACATGATTAATGGGTATAAAAAATAGAAATAATGAATAAGACATACAATTTAATGGCACAATGGGGTGAAAAGTGTCAATAATAATAGTTTATTTTAAAATAACTCAAATAATGTAATTGGATGGTTTGTAACTTCAAGGATGAAGGCCTGAGGGGATGGATACCACATTTTCCATGGTGTGCTTATTTCACACTGCATGCTTGCGTCAAACCACACCATCATGCACCACATAAATATATACACCTACT